GCTAGATGGATGGATAAGAGGATAAGCTGTTTTGGAGGAGACTGGAGTGTGAGTCAGCAGACTGAGGGGAAGACCTGCCTGAATGTAGGGTGGGCACCATCCAAACCTGGATGGAACTAAAAGGCAGCTCTGTCTCTCTCCTAGAGCTGGGACACTCTTCTTCTCCTGCCCTTGGACATCAGCACTCTAGGCTCTTGGCCTTTAAACTCTAGGCTTGCAGCAGCACTCCCTGCCCTGGGCTCTCAGACCTTCAGCCTTGGACTGAGTCACCCCATTGTCTTGGCTCTGAGGCCTTGCGACTTGGGTGCTGAGTCACACGACCAGCATCCCAGAGTCTCCAGCTCTAAGACAGCCTGTCACGGGACTTCTCAACCTCCATCATCACATTTCTCCTACTGCATATCCTCTTTCCATCCATCTAGCTAGCTATCTGTTTGTCTATCATCTATCTATCTATCTGTCTGTCTGTCTATCTATCTATCTAATCTGTCATCTATCACCTATCATCTATCTATCTATCACCTGTCTATCATCTATTTGTCTGTCTGTCTGTCTATCTATCTATCTATCTATCTATCTATCTATCACCTGTCTCTCTATATAGCTACCTACCTATCTATCCAGCCTATTGGTTCTGTCTCACTGCAGAATGCTGACTATAGTCATACACCTATTTTAAGAGTCCCAGCATGATTACGCACTGATGGCTCACAGCCTCGACAATCCCCAATGATGGGAGCAGCCTTAATTTGTGTGCACCATCTTCACAGGGCTACAATCCTGACACTCCTTGGGGTCAAAGGGGTTTAGGGTATTAGTTACTTTATGGGTCTAATGATCTTGGTTGATATGCTGCCAGGATTTGTAACAAGTTTGCCAAATCTCAATCTATTTAAAGATCTAACTGAGAAGGCTGCGCCTGGCTAAGTATCCAGGGAGTCGGTCCGCTTGCTTCCCAGGCCTTTCTGTGTTTGTCACACCATCCACTCACTTTCATTATTTCTGTTGGGCCATTCACAGGAGAATTTCAGGCAAACTGGCCGCGGCTTTGGCCTCTTACTGGGATGATTGGCACCATGTGATGTTAACCCTGGAGACCACCACAAGGTCACTCTGTACGGCCCCTTGATTTTGGAGAGGAACTAGCTGAGCCCCAGGCATTGGAAGTGAATTGCTTAGAGTCACATAACAAATTTAAGTTCAGGAAGAGATAACAACACACTTCACCATCAGCACTTGGTAGGACTGCCTCACCCCTGCCATGCGCTCACGGCCCCATCATCTCTACCCAACCTCGATGTCCCCAAATTGTGCTTGCTATTTGGTTGACTGCTTCTTCCTTATTAAACATTCTGCTATTCGTGAATGACTCTGGCCAAATTAATGAGAGCCATACGACCTACTGGCCTTGTAACACCCATTCCTTGTGAATATGACACGTGTCGGAACACACTGACCCAGCCGTCCCCTGGGAGCGGGGGTTCTGAGTGTGTGGGGTCCTACAAGTCGTGGATGTCTCACTAAGGATGTAATTTCTGAGTGAATTGGTCTTTCCTTGAAAAAAGAAAGACGGAAACTATATCCCAGCAAATGCGGGTTTCCATGAGCAGACAGCGCCACCTGCTGGGTGACTGGGGAAACAGCAGAATCACCATTTTTCTGGACCTGCATCTTCATTCTGCTCAAAGAGCACACGTGTCTATTTGATTCCAGGGCGCTGGATATGTGCGTGGCACATGGAAGCCTTTATTTTACTTTTTGGGTTTTTCATGCTTGTAGTTAAACATCACCACTTTCTCACTCAGCTGTGACTGTCAAGAGCCTTGCGCCCTGTGGGCTTACTGAGCTCTGGAATAAGGGAGAGAACCTCATGACGCCCATGTCAGCAACAGCTTTGCAGACGCCTTCTCAAAAGCCACAGACCCCAGACATGCTAAGGACAGGCACTGCTCATTGCTTACAGACTCACGTACTTACCCGAGCGTCCACTTAGGGCCGCAGATGGGAGGATTGACGGGAAGAAAGGCCGGGAAAGGACAAAGGCTGGAAGGTGCATGTCCTCTGCACCTGAGGCAGCTACTAGGTTCAAACAGTGAAGGGCGTCGGGCCCAGGCAGAGCCCAGAGCCTCTGTGAACCCAGAGCTTTCCTAATAAAGTCTGCTCCCTGGGCAGTGAGAGTTTCTATAGGATGCATGGTGTAGCCGTGGACTCAGGGGTGTGTGTCCTCCCTGTGAACAGATGGGTGAAGCAGAAACTCCACACAGAGGGAAGCACAGTCTATGAAGAAAGCTCACCCAGGACACAGCACACGTGGAGATGTCAGCACGTGCAGGGGTTTGGGAGAGGGTCACGGTCTCTTCGCTCATGACTTCCTGCAGCCAAGAATGCAATCTGCAATTAGGGCACCAGACTGGGGGTCGTGGAGGAGCA